CTGCCCCCTACCCCCCCCCCCCCCTCCCCCCGTAAGGTCCCTGTGACTCCTGAACCCCCCGAGTCTGCGCCCCATGCCAGGCAACAGAAGGAGAAGTTCCGGGACCTCGGCCTAATCGAGGCCTGCTCTCTCGCGGATATCCAAGCACAAGAGGTGTCGGAATAGATACTGCTAGAAGCTTTTAGGGTTCCTTATCCTATTTATTGCACCAGATGCCAGAATGCCTCATTTCGGCCGCTAGACTTGCACTGAATGGTAAGTGTTTGTACCCCTACGGTAGAGGTCTGGAGAATGTGTAGCACGTCGCTCTTTGTGGTCCTTGTGTAAGTACATGACAAGGTACCGCAACACCCTATTCTAATTCTTGGGACCCCTCTCCACCACCCGAAACACCACGGGGGCTTGTTTGGCAGAGCGACCAAGGGCCCTCGAGCAAAACTGACAACCTCCACAATGCCTCTCAATCCGCTGGTCCTTTGACAAAACTCGAGTTTCTTATTATGAGTTCGTACTGATAGCGCTTTGGGCTCTCTGGGCAAAGCCTCGCCTAAAAGTCTGCCGTGGCTCGGTTCGTCGAAAGATACGATCCAGGGATTTTGGCTTCAGGGACATCGGGTCTCGGGATGTGGGGATTTCGGAGGTTTGGGTTTCAGTTTATCGGTTTCGGAATAGCAGCAGTAGTAGCAGCAGTAGTATCAGTAGCGGAACGTGTTGTACAGCTCATAGAGGCACAGGACGTGGACCAGGAAGAGCTGCGCCGAGCCTTGTCGATGCCTCGGAGTCGAACATGGTTTTGCAGTGTTCTGCATTGTTCTAAGATCTATGTGATGTCTTTTTTTACCATCCCATGGTTTGAACATGCGGTTCACTTCTGCTGTTTAGCCCGCGGTTCGTGCCTACCCTCAACCTACATGGTTGATTGGGCGCATGTCCCGAAAGGGTTCTGGTGTGTTGCTGGAGTGGGACCCTCCTGTCCCTAGCCGAGTCAAATGCCTTGCTTGGTTCGATCTTGCCCTTGCATCGCCCTTTGACGGCACAGAGCTGTCTGTCAGCCTCCGTCACGTCTGGAAATCCATGGCTTTCCTAAAATCCTCAACCGTGAAGCCCTAAACTTGCCCTAAACGCTAAGAGGCTTGAGCCCTAGCCCCAAAAAACTGCATGAGCTGAAACACGCCCGACCTCAAACTGTAGACTCCGAGACCACAATAACCCTAGATAGGCAGTCTTCAGAATTCATCAGAACATTGGCAAGTACGTATTGAGGGATATTCATCCAAAGTCACAGGGAAGGTAGGCTTTACTGTAGACCCTAGCCTTTGACTGCTCCGGGCACGATGGGGGATGTCGATGTGGTCGTGCTTGGTGCTGGGCTGAGTGGCATCTTCCTGGCCCACAGCTTGCAGTCGGAAGGTTGCAGGAGCCTGGGGTTCTTACAGTACTACTCCGGGCTTCGGCCGCCACTACTGCCACAATTAACTCTGCTGCTGCTGCTGCTGCTGCTGCTGCTACTTGTACTACTGGTTGTGGGAGTTATTGGGAGGAGGAAGGAGGACGAGCAGCATAATCACCAGCAGCAACGGTAGTAGAAGCAGGAGTGCTTGCAGCTATCAGAATAAGACTCCATGGTAGTAGTCCCAACAGCTGCAAGCGATGATGATGATACTGTCATATAAGCCAAAATCATTAACGTTCAGACGGCCAATGGCAACGATTTCAACGCGATGTACAGCGCACAGATGATATCAACATCAGAACGAAATTGAACATTGCCATCAAACCGGACCTTTTCATGTTGTTGTTCATTCCAAGCTGCTACTCGTAGACTCCGGCCGTTTTCATTGCAGTCTGGGATCTAAACGCAACAGTTACTGAACCTGTTTTCTTAGCTCTCCAGACCCCTAAACCCTAAACCCTAAGTTGACGGGATCCAGGAGCTTCGCCGTCTTAGACCGGCGGAAGGGCATCGGTGGCATGTGGGAACCTTGGCGTTTTAGTTTTTAAGCACCTCCTTGCCGGTGCGTAATGTAGGGGCCTCAATAATTACCTATACTATTTTGGGGGTTCCTTCTTGTAATTGTAGTATAATATACCCCAAAACCCTATTCTGGTCCCTAATTAAGGCCCCTACATTAAGCAGACGCGTAAGAAATGGAGTTCCGCATTAAGGGCCCTTTTTTCCCCCAAAGGGGGGGATCTTGCTGCGTGCGCGTGCCTTGGGATCAAATGCAGGCAGCTCCGCCTATCTCCTCCCGGAAACTAACCCTTTGCTAACCCTAATGCCCCAATAGTGGCCTCTATAGTAGCCTTATCGTAACCCTTAAAGACAACCTTACGTAGTGGTAACCACCGTGTTAACTGCTTCACCCTTGTCGAAATGTAGAGCTCCGATAAGACCCTACAAGAGCCGTATCAACCCCAGAAAATAGAGCACCTAAACCCTAAAACCCTAAACCCTAAAACCCTAAACCCTAAAACCCTAAACCCTAAACCCTAACACCCTAAAGCCCTAAAAAGCCCTAAACCCCGAAACGCCCAGAAACTCAGGCAGAGCTGAAGTTCCCCGGCCTTCGCACCGACTCGCCCATGGGCCTTTACGCCTACTCCTTCCATCCCTCGGCCACGACGACGCGGATGATGCCGACCAGGGAGGATCAGGGTTCACAGGGTTTGGGGCTTAGGGGTTAGGGGATCAGGGTTTAGGGGTTAGGGCTTGGGGTTTAGGGTTGATGGCTTTAGGGTTCAGGGTTTAGGGTTTAGGGGTTTGGGGTTTAGCAGGGTTTGGGGTTTGGGGTTCAGGGTTCAGGGTTTAGGGTTCGGGGCTTAGGGGTTCAGGGTTTAGGGCTTGGGGTTCAGGGTTTAGGGTTCAGGGTTTGGGGTTTGGGGTTCAGGGTTTAGGGTTTGGGATTGAGGGTGCGTTCAGGGTGTTGTGCGTGAGTAGAATCTGGTTTTGGGACTAGACTATACTTATGTAGGGACTATAACTATGAGGTATCACAAGCAGTGTGCTTTTGTTAGTGTCTTGTTGTGGTGGTTACGACGATGATTGCTTGGATGACTGCAAGCGTGACGACAGCCCTCGAAGGAGCTGCTGGAGTACTTTCACGAGGTGGGTAGTTCTCTAAAGTAGGGTGCCTTTTAGTTGTTGGGTCCTTTTTTGTAAGGCTGCCGTACTATATTGGGGATTCAAAAAGGGACCTAGCCCTAATTTAGAAAACTACCCAGGTGGTTGATGAACATCGGCTGGCACAGTACATGCACTTTGAGCAGCATGTCCGGCGGGCAGAGTTCGACTCGAGGAAGGCGTCTTTGAAGAGTTGATGTTTGGGCTTAGGGTCTAGGTTCTTTGGGGGAGTTTGTGGATGGTTAGGTCGTCAAGGATTCAGGGTCGTAGAGCTCAACACACCTTGGTCTAGGAAAAGTCCTTCAAGTCTCAGAGCTTTGAACTATGATGTACAGGGAGGCACTAAGACCAAGCTGGCCCAACTAGCAGTGCATCTGCTTCAATGCTACTACTGAGCCAGATGCCAGATGTATCCAGATGTCAGGCACGATGGACCCTGACAACGGCCACTGGAACGCGTTGGACATGCCGACATGTGCTGAACTGTACAGGTGTCTCGGCGGAGCCTGTATCTTTGGGAGCTCGCTTGGGCAGAGGGAGGCTTTAACACGGACTCCAGAGGGCTTAATGCGGGCTGGGGGGTTTCAGGGTCTATCGGTTTATCGGTTTACGGGTCAAGACTTTAGGGTTTCAGGGGTTGATTCTGGGCCAAGGATACTTCGACCTCTTCGATCCGTACATCCCGAAGATCCCTGGGATGGCAGACTTTGCGGGCAGGCTGGTGCACACGCATTCCTGGCCGGAGGATCTGTGGAGCTGAGCTGGTTCGCAGGGTTTGAAGGTCTTCAAGTATAGGGTTCCAAGTAAAGCTTAGGGTGAGGGGTGTTTTATGCAAGAGTTGAAGGGCTTTTAACAGAGATCGCCTTTACGCTTTAAGGTGTCGGCTGTAGATCTTTGCAGTTACGGGGGGTAGAGCTGGTTCTACTAACTAGCATGCTCATGGGGAAGGAGTTTGTGGGGCACTTTACGCAGGGGCTTACGGAGTTCAAGGGCCCCCGTAGTTTCTGAAACTCCAAACATATGCAAATGCAGGACATGAGTCTCGAAGGCAAGCGCGTCATCCTCGTGGGCAGCGGGGCCTCTGCGGTGGCTGGACTTTTTCGGCTATGTAGGGCCTTACATGAGAAGGCCTCGAAGTGTAGAGGCCTTCAAAGACAGGATTTCTCCTACTCAGGGTCCACGTTATTCGGTTCGTCTTTTGTTGGGGCCGACCCTGTCTCCTTTGGGCCCAGGTGACGGCTGCACCTGCCTTGGCGGAACAGGCCCAGAGCGTGGTGATGCTGCAGCGCTCTCCGAGCTATATCAAATCGGCACCCCTGCGCACTTGGGCGCTGAAGAAGAACCACACCACTACATGTGTGGTTTGTGCTATGGAGGGCTTAGATTTGGATGGGCTGCTTGGGATTCTTATTGAATTGAGGAGTATCTACCCTACACCTTCAAGGATCCCAGCATCTGCAGCATACTGTGCCCAAGGTTGACATGGTCGAGGTCTGTCTCGCTGGGAGTTTCAGGTCATAAATTGAAAGGCCTCGGGTCCCGGCCTTCCCATGCTGTGTTCAGGGTTTAGGGCTTAGGGTTTAGGCTCAACCGCAGTGGCAGCCTCCTCGTGGCTAGGATGTCTGCATCAAGCAGGATTTCCCACTGCGGAAGTTGCTTGATTTTAGCATGAGGTCATGCGCCGTGGTCTGCATGGGCCATTGCCGCCTGGTTGGTGAGAGGCGGAGGCGTATTCCGATGGCTGGGGCGGTGCCTGCCACCCAGCACAACCCCAAACCGTAAACCCCAAAGCCAAACCTGCAGCCCCCGCCCCACCCCAAAACCAAACCCTAAACCACAGCCAAGTACCTGCCTGCCTAGTGCGCTCTCAGACGAGGCTCTTCAAACTAGTGAAGCATCCTTTGCTCAGGTTCGAAGTTTAAGAGCAAGAAGCCACCACCCACAACAACATCGGTCCTTAAACTTTCAACAGCCCCTGGCAGGAGGTACCCTAGAGCCTGAACCCTAAGCCGGCCTACACCCTAAAGCTTGCCTCCATTTGAAGTTTCTTGAAGTCCCAAGCCCCTAAGCTCAAGGCCTCAAACCTCGACACCTCACCACCCAAAGGTCCGACTCCTCGTCCTCCAGACCTGGTAAAGCCCCCTAAAACCAGCAAAAGCTCAAAAAGAACCGCTGTGAGATCTTCAAAACCTTCACAGAGCCTTATGAAATCCCAGAAGGAAAGCCCCTTTTGAAAGCCTATCTTTATGAAAGAACCCGGAGCCCTAATGCCCTGCACTGAACCCGAAACCTGCGAAGCTGGAACCCTAAACCTGCTAAAACCATCCCAATCCAAGGTTTGCGCTGATCTTCCGGCGGCTGCGCCGCGAAGCCCTGAGGGAGGCCAAGGATTACAACGAGAAGCGGCATGCCTGGAGCGCAGGCTGCCCCGAGGCGCCCAGCACAAGGTTCTGGGTTCTCTACCTTGTTTTGTTTCGAGGGTTCTTTTAGGGTGGGTTTTGGGCGGTGTCGTGACTTTGTAATAGTTTGCAGGGGGTCTTTAGTCTGCGCGTTTTCTTTGTGTGTGACGCGTTCCAGGGGGGGCTCTTGGAGCTGAGATGCCTCCAGAAAGTCCTTCTTGCAACTGGGGATGTAAGATTCTGGTCTGGGGATTGGGCTTTCGGTTTTTTTGGAGCTTGGGGGTCGGGTTTAGGAGGGTGCCCGAAGTCCCTTCATCATAGCAGGCTCCCCTCATAGGGACCCTCACTGGCACCAAGTCTTCGGTTCTGTAAGTTGAGGGTTGAGACTGTGGGGAAGTTGCGGTGTAATCCTAGACCCTAAGCCTTAAAACCCTGCACCCTAAATCCTCAACCCTAGACCCTAAAACCCTAAAGCAATAAACCGCTGAACCAAAACCCCTCGGCAAGTTCTTTCTTCAGCGAGGCACTCGCAGCCCGTTTGCGTGAGAGTCGTGCCGCGGTGGATGCGGTAGTCGACCGCCTCCCTGAGTTGCGGCGCCACTTCACTCCCTCCTACCAGGCCAGGTTCGGGTTCAGGTTTTATGGCGGGTTTAAGTCGTGAGTTGCTAGCAGGCGAACCGCTCCTGTGAGCAAAGAGCCGGTATATCAATCGTTGTGGTAAGCTGACGCGTGTAAGGGTCAGGGTCAGGGTTTAGGGTGTGGAGGGTTCAAGCTTAAGCAGGGCTTAGGACACACGAGTATGAGGGGTTACAGTATCAAAATGGTTTCGCTGGAGGCTCGTTAAATCATGGGTGGGGAAGCCTCCCACCCTCTTCGCGAAGGCCTCGTGAATTCGCAGAGAGTTCAGAATGCTGTGCTAAGGCTAAGCATATCCCAACCCTAAACCCTAAACCCTAAACACCCTAAACCTTAAACCCTAAACCCTAAACCCTAAACACCATAACTGTCTGCAGCTTTCGACTGCAATTCTGTGGGACCTCCTGAAGGTTTTTGAGCAGAGGACCTGCTTTGCTCCCGGCGATGAGTTCTTCATGGCCATTCAGCGAGGTCGCCTCAGCATCGTCACAGCGCACCCTGCTGGATTTTGGGTACTTTGCTTTTACTGATATGCCCCAAGCCCCTAAAGCTCAAAGCCCCAAGGCCCTAAAGCTCAAAGCCCCAAGGCCCTAAAGCTCAAAGCCCCAAGGCCCTAAAGCTGAAACCCTTAAACTTCACACCCCTACAACAACCTAAGCCCTAAGCCCAGACAATGTCGCGGCGGGCCTAGCGACTTGAGGCCTCTGTCTGAGCTGCAGTCATTATATGGGTGGTTCTCTAAATTAGGGTCCCTTTCTGGGTCCCCAAAATAGTACGACACCCTTATGAAAAAGACCCCAAAAGGGACCCTAAGTTAGAGAACTGCCCATATGGGGTCATAGCATGGCCCCTTTTGATGTCCTTCTGTCTTTCTCCGTGGCTCGTTTGGGGGAAGCCTAGGGCCCCAGGCCCCAAACCCGAGGCTCCGAACCCTGAGCTCGAACCTAAATGGGACTTTCCGAAAGTTAGGGGTACCTCATTTTGGGGTCCTTATAATGAGGATCTTACTAGTTAGGGTACTATATTAGGGTCCCCTATTTTCGGAAACCCATCAAATCAACTCTCAGGGCAAAGCTCCAAACCCCATAAGCCCTCGACTCCAATCCCCCTAAGCCCTAAACCCTAAACCTAAACCCTAAGCCCTCGACTCTAAACTTACCCCCTAAACCCCTAGCAAAAGAAGCCCTATAACCTAAACCCTAACAACAGAAACGCCCTAAACCAGTGAGGCACATCGACCGCTTCACCCGGACGGGCCTTCGGCTCCAGGCACTCACGGAAAGCGAGAGCCGGCTGGCAGAGACCTTCGGGGAGCCCGAGACGCCGGAACACCTGGAGGCCCAAAAAAGGGTATTTTCGTTTTAGGGTTTAGGGTTTAGGGTTTAGGGAGTTCAGGGTTTAGGGAGTTTAGGGTTTAGGGTTTAGGGTTGAGGGTTTTGGGTCTAGGGTTTAGGGTTAAGGGTCATGGGTAGTTCTCTAAACTAGGGTCCCTTTGAGGGTCCTTTTGTAAGGGTGCCGTACTATATTGGAGATTTAGACAGGGGTTTCAATTCAGAGAACTGCCCATCTTGCATTACATGGTTGAGGGCGTCAACAGGTTATATAAGCGCGCTATACAGTTTTCGTAGGGGTCTTCAAGGGGAGTTTGTTTGGAACTAAATCGTTATCCATCAGCTCCCTTTGTCACACGGCCTTACTCTTGAGATCCAGATTCCAATCCTTGTCCAGGGAACCGGGTGGTTGTTGATCAGCAGTAATTATACGTTAGAGCTTACATGTTGGGAGTTTTGCAACAGCGAGCGACAGAGGTATACGCCGTCGATGGAGGGTTCCTCAAAACAACTTAGTAGCTGAGTAGGTAACCGTTAACCTTTTTGGGCTTATCTAATCCTACCATAATAACCCTAAACCCATATATTGAAAGGTTACCCTTTTTTGGGCTGGGTACTCAGCCCCTAAGACAAGGGCACCCCCGGGTTCTGAGAAGACCTTGCATTTACGCTGAGGGTAGCGATTTGCGAGGAGCAGCCGTGCTGCAGGGGTCGAAGTCAGGAGTGATAGTGTCACCATTCGCCCCTGTATGATGACAGCACACCGCAAGACTCTCTTGTAATTGCCAAGGCCCCCCCACATTACATGAAGGATTTTAGGGCATGTCGTCATCTTTGTTTTGCCGCGCAGAGTGTTTCGAGATGTCTTTTGCATGGAACCAAACCAGAAAGTGCTTCAAGACTCGTCAGAGCCTTTAACCCGCAACCCTGAACTCTACAAATCCCTAACGACATGGCCCAAGCCCGACGCCTAAACCCAAGAAACGTATCGGAGGCCGACGTCGTGGTTCTTGCGACGGGGCACAAGCTGAGCCTTCTAGGAGATGTGGGAATGTCGGAAAGCGAAGCTACCCCAAAAGGAAACCCGAAATAGAAGACTCCTGCCAGCGGGCATTTCGAAAGATAAGTACAGTGGATTTCCAAACTAGAGCCCTATGTGCGAGGATCCTCCTTACAAGAAGTACTTACTACAAGGACCCCTGAATGAGGTATCTATCCTTTGGTTTTTCTTGGAACCCTAGACCCTGAAGTCTTCTTGCTGTTGATGATATAAATCCTGCACTACCTAAAGGACCCGAAACTATGGGAATTATGGTATATTCCGTATTATGGGTTAAACCCTAAACCCAAAACCCTAAACCCTCAACCCTAAACCTTTCATATCATCGACAGTATGACGAGGAGATGTAGAGCTCCTTGTCGACGGATGCCCGCAGAAGATGGGCGAGAAGATGGCGTACCAAGGAGGCCTCATGGTGTCCGACGTGCCAACGACGCAGTCGTCTGGGGTCTCCAGGGTTTAGGGATTTGGTTTAGGGTTGAGGGTTTAGGGATTTGGTTTAGGGTTTAGGGGTTTGGTTTAGGGTTTAGGGTTTAGAGTTTAAGGTTTTATGGTTTTGTGGTTGATGGTTCAGGAAGCCAAGGCTTTCGAAGGATCTAAAGGATGGATACTTGAAAGCGCCACTCCATCTTCACCCACCTGGTAGCGGGATACTTTTGTGGGGCCTACTGTAGGATCCCTTGAAGGGTCTTGGAAGAAGAAAAAAACCATGCCCCGAACCCTATAAGGCCTTCAGAAGAAAGATCGTTTTGTGTTTAGCCGGCTTCTTGCAGAAAACCCCCCGACCGAGGTGCCGAACTTGTTCAACTTCTCTGGGTACTTCAAGGGCACCTACACCCTGAGACTGGAGGCTCCTCGGACTCTCCGTCCCTTCAGCCGTTTTTCAGCGTGAAGCAGAGCCCTGAACTGCACGGACGTGTTTGAGGGTTTCGGGTTCAGGCATCCCAAGCTTCCGAGGCGGAAGTGCCACTTGTGCTCCGCATCTTGCAGTTCATGGACACCCGCGGCTACGCGCGCGTCGTCCCGCGCTGGCGCGGTGGCGAGGAGGACGTGGACCCGTGCCCCCAGGTGGGGCTCATCACGTCAGCCGCCGGACGCTGGGATCTTATTCAGTGCTCTGTTTTCGAAGTGCTGGAGAAGAAAGGGTATTCAGTGTGGAAGTGATGTCTGCAGTAAGGATATGCAGACTCTGCATGGCAGGGCCCCAACTATGCCAAGCGAGATGCAGCGTGGCGTCGCAGGCCCAGCGTGGGAAAGCAGATGCCCTGGAGAGGCGGCTGGAACTACTACGAAGACTGGAGCCACTGCCACGAGGCACAGCTCGAAGACGGCACGCTCGAGTATGGCGTCGCGCAGGAAACACCGGGAAAAGCAGCGGTGCATTCTGCCGGTGGGGGGGGGCAATGATCCAGCCCGGAGGTTAGTTAGCTGTGATTGGCATGGTAAGGTAAAAACGTGAACAGTTCGACTAGGTAACCCGAAGAGCACTGCAAAAGACCGTAAATCGTGGACACCAGCTGCTCCAGCTCACCCCTTGAGTAGTGACTTAGGCTGGAGCTCCTCGAATCGAAGCGTGCCCGGCTGGCAAGCAGATCGGGCTTCTGGGAAATCGGGGGAGATGGAGTCATGGAGGAAAGTAAGGTTTAGGTTTGGGTGTAGGGCTTAGGGTTTAGAGTTTAGGGCCCTAAACCCTAAACCCTAAACCGAGTTTAGGGTTGAGGGTTTAGGGCTTAAGGTTTGGAGTTCCGGGTCGAAGGTTTGGGCTTCAGGATTCCGGATCGGAGCACCCTCAGCCAAGAGAGGCCAGGAGGACGTCCCGACCATGGATGATTTTAGGGCTTTTAGGTTTTTTATTGAGTTTGCTGCGTCGATGTCTCATTGCGAGACAATGTGGTTCATGGTTGACAGGGAAGGTTGGGACGGAGGGCTCCGGGACGCAGGGCGTTAGGGTTTAGTTTAGGTGCTGACATTTTAGGGTTTGAGGCCTAAACGCTAAACCCTAAACCCTAAACCCTAAACCCTAAACCCAAGCTTAGGCTGCCCTTAACGCTGTTCCAAACTCTTCCGGTCCCCGGCCGATCCAGGCAAGACCGACGCGGGGGGTTCCTTGGTCCACATACACCTCAAGGTCGAATGATGTCTTCTCCTGAAAGCCGTACACCCTGACCATTAAACCCTCAGAGAGCCCTGGAGCCCGAAACGTTAGAACTTCCGAAAGCCTGTACTTAACACGCCTCCGCACCCTAAACCCTAAACCCTAAACTCCTAAGCCGCATGAAGCCTTCATAGAGTCCTTGTTGAAGAACCTTCAGCGCGCCTCTCACAGAGCCCGAAGCCCGGGTGGCTTGGAGACGGGTTTATGGCCCGTAGGGTTTAGAGTTTGGGGTCCGTAGGGTTTAGGGTTAAGGGTCCGTAGGATTTAGGGTTTGGGGTCCGTAGGGTCCGTAGGGTTTAAGGGGTTGAGGAGGGTTTAGGGTTTCTGGAAGCTTTTTTTAGAACCTGTATAGAGTCCTTGTGGTAGGACCCCTAGCCTCAAGCCCAAAAGCCCTTACCCCGAAATCCTCAAGCCCTAAAGAATCAGTCCTTCTGAAGCCCGAGCAGGTCCCTGGCAGTAGGACTTGTAGAGGAGCCCGTCAAGAGACCTTATAAAAAACAAAAGCAAGCCACGCGGACCCCATATAAGCCCAGAGGATGAAGCAACCCTAAACCCTAAGCCCTAAGCCCAAAACCCTAAACCCTAAAAAACACTAAGCCCTACGGAACCCCAACTTGGGCCCTTACAAAAGGGATCTTGTTCAGCCCCCTTCTTGTCCAGGACATTTTCAGGTGGGTAGTTCCCGTTATAGGAGCCCTAAACGAGGTCTACATACCTTATCGAAGCCTTTATGGAAGCCCTATATACCCTAAGCTCCCCACCTGTAGTTTCCTTTAGTTTTGAGGCCTGGAGAAGTTGGCTCTGATGCTCAGCCGCCGTCAACGGCTCCAGGAGCTCCTCCAACGCCTCCCGGCTCGGAGGGAAGATAGGGGTTTCGGGTTTAGGGTTTAGGGTTTCCGGGTTTGTTAGGAGAGTTTCGGGTTTAGGGTTTAGGGTTTATTGGGGGTTTAGAGTTTAGGGTTTAGGGTTTATTGGGGTTTAGAGTTTAGGGTTTCGGGTTTAGAGGTTTAGGGTTTCGGGTGTAGAGTTTAGGGTTTCGCATTTAGAGCTTAGGGTTTCAGGCTGGGTGAGCTTTTGCGTGTAGGGTTTCGGGTTCTAACTTGGGGGCTCCATGAGGGGTGCTTGGGGGTTCAAGGTCTTTTGAGAGGTTTGCAATCAGGCCAGCATGTCATTCTGTGCGATGGCACGCTTTGCGCACATTCTGTGCACATTGTGCAACAGAAGGTAGTGCATGCATGTCCATGATCGGAGCACATCAAGCAAAGCTGCCAAACCCTATTTACTGGGGTCCTAAAATATTCTATACCAGGGTTTATAAAAAGAACCTATAAAAAGTAGCTTTTGGTAGGTTAATGTTTTGGAGATTCTGGTAGCGTATGCGAGCGCAAGGTGCCAGTACGACCCCGAAGTGCCTGGCCTCCCCCTGTCCTCACCAGAAAGTTCTTTTCGGTTTGAATGTCCTGTGCGTCGGGTGCGGTTTTTGTTCGCAGGTGAGGTTTCGGCGTCGTGTTGATTCGAGTCTCCACATTTGACCTCAAGGTGCAGATGCAGAGCATGTGGTTGATGGATGAAATCCTACACTCCTTCAAGTAAGCACTCCAATACTACGGAATGTGGCGCCTTGATATTGGATGCTGCAGGATGTTGTCCATAAAGGGACCATCGGGTCAGCCAACTGGATCATGTAGAGTACATGACTGAACCCTCATTACCCTACTTCCAAGGTCTGCGAAAGGGGGCAGGGATCGGGTCGCCCACAACACAATGGGGATCCAGCGAGAGATTCCGCCCAAGCTCTTCCAAATTCCTAAACTCTAAACCCTAAACCCTAAACCTCAAAAAAAAGCCCTAAACCCAAACTCAAACCCGAAAAAAACGAAGCCTGCGGCCCAAAGTGGGTTCCCATGGCGGGACTCCCAGGAAAGCAGGAAGAGCTGGCGACGTCCGGCGCCTTGCCGGAGCGCCAGGTTGGAGAGGAGGCGGGTCCGAGGCTTCGGGTCACCAGGGGCCTCTTTTGGTAACTTAGGGGCTGAGTAGGGTTTAGGGTTTAGGGTTTAGCGTTTAGGGTTTAGGGTTTAGGGGCTGAGTAGGTATCCTTTAACCTTTTGGGCCTTACATAATCCTACTATAATTGAAAAGGTAAACCTTTTTGGGCTAGGGTACTCGGCCCCCAAGGTAAAGGTTTAGGGTTTAGGGTTGAGGGTTCCTGTTGAGGGCACAAGAACCTCTAGAACGAGAGGCCTTCGCAGCTCGTTCAAAAACGGAGTGGGGTTCCTTAAAGGGTTCCTGTAAGGTTCCTTTAAGAATTTTTGAGTGTTCCTACAGGGGCTCCAAAGAATGGACACCCCCGAATAGGTCTCCCACCATCATGTGGGCTCAGGACGGCAGGGTTAAAGTTTAGGGTGCCCAACAGCTTTATGATGCACGACGTTTGGGCTAAGAAGCGTCAAAGCATGAAACCTCGCAGCCTTTCGGCTACATAACTTCGCAACCCCGTCCTGAAGCCGACGTCCCAGCCCATGACCCCTGAAGCCAGAAACCCTTGTGCGACCCTTTTCGGACCCTAATAAACTTTGAGTCTGAAGCACAAAATCCGAAACCCCAAACCCACAACCCTGCACCCTAAAACCCTATACCTTAGACCCTAAAACCCCGAAACCCCGAAACCCCGAAACCCGTGCTTTGCAAGGAGAGCGCACAGCGCCAGCGCCTCCGCGAGTTCCTCCAAACGCGGCAGCTGGCGCCCCCTGTTCCTCGGGTGCCCTGGTGGCCGCGCTATGTGGAGTTTGGTAAGTTCGGAGCTTCGGAGTTTAGGATATATATATATATATGTATATATGTAAATACATACATACACACATACATACACACATACATACATACATACATACATACATACATACATACATACATACATACATATTATGTATGTATGTGTGTACATAAATCTCAAGAAGCATATCTTTAAGTCACTTATAGGAACTCTTTAAGGGTCAATTACGCATAGGTCGCTGTATTGCCGAGGAGCCGTCTGAGCAAGCCAACGCCGAAGAGCCCATACTGACGGCCGGGATCTCGGATGGTTCCGGCAACGGCGCATTTGGTTGACAAGCTGGGCCAGCCTTAAACCCCAAGCTAAAGCCGTGCATCATACATCCATATTTCTTTCAATTTTACAACTTAAACCCTACATCACAAATCCTTATTTTTTAAATCTCTAGACGGTAAATCCTGAACTCCTGAACCCGAAGCCCTGGGCCAAAGCTTGCGATGTCCCGGGGCTCGCCCACGCCGGGGGCATCTGGGGTGGAACAGGGCTCGGCTCTCTGGGGCTGCAAGTTCTGGGTTTGGCTTCCCGACAGACTGTGGAAATATTCTTTTTATGAGCTTCGCTGTCGGTGCCGAGAATCCTGCTTTGATGAATGGCTTTTACTTGCAATGCCCTATGGCATGAAATATTTATGTGTGCAATGTAGATGACGTGATATTGCATGGGTGCAAAGCAAGATACGTAATGCATGCTGTGCACAGCGATGTTCCGGGTGCTTGGGAAGGATCAGGAGACATAGTACATAGGCTACAAGTAGAGTTATGAGGTAATGCGGGTACATAGATCTCCATCTTTCAGCTACTCGCGAAGTCCCACGTCCGTGTAAGCCTCGCGATGCCCATTGGAAAGTCCATAAAGTTGACGACATGTTGGGAAGGCTGTGAGCTTTAAGCCAACAGGGGCTTCGGGTTCAGGGACACCCGAATCCCGAAGTCTTAAATCCTACATCCGAAGCCCTCTACCCGAAACCGTCCCTGGAACAGGCCGACAAGCTCTCCGAGAGCGTCCAGCCGAAGCCTCCCTGCGTTGAGGAGCAGGTGCTGCCTGCTGGCTATCTTCCTTCTGGGTTCAGGGTCCCCTGAACCCTAAACCCTATACCCTAAGCCCTGAACCTAAACCGTAAACCCTATGCCATCCCCCCCTGAACCCTATACCCTAAACCCTAAACCCCTAACCCTAATTAGTGTTCAGGCTTCAGGTTGCGGGTTCTCAGGTTCTCCTTTCTCATTCCAAGGATCACCAGGCGCCCTCGAGGATTGGTAGGGTTTAGGGTTTAGGGAAAACTGGGATCCCTTGTTTAGGTGCCCAAAAATAGTACGGCACCTTGATACAAGGAACCCAACAGGGACCCTTCTTTGGAGAGCCTGCTTG